TCTTGCAGAAGACCCGGGTTTGAATCCCAGCACCCACATGGCAGCTAACAACTGTCTAACTGCAGTTCCCAGGGATCTCACCTCCACAGGCATTGCATGACACGGATGTACTTACCTACATGCAGGCAATACACCTATACATATAAAATAAAAATAATTTTAAAAAATTAGGAAAAAGTGTAAAAAAATTTGTTTTTAAAGAATTTTTTTTCTGTTAAAAGCAACACATGAGCCTATAAATCCATTGCTCCTAAGCACCCTGTTGCATCTCGCTTCCTAGACCCCATGATGCCTTTGTTCTGTTCCCTCTTGCAGGGTGTCCTCTGTCCACACATAGTCACAGAGCTGACTTTAAGTGGCTAAGCTTGTCCTGCAGGGCGAACTGTGTCACCTTTTACCCTCTGAGGAAAATTAACTTGTAGCTGGCTCAGGTTTTTCTCCCATTAGGAGTGTGGCACTACTGAGGTAGAAAAGCCACGACTGTTGGAAATGAATAGGACAGATAAAACTAGCCAAAATCCAAAGAACTTGACAGTACGGAACTTGAGATCCAGATTTCTGCCCAAGGAGAATAAGCAGTAACTATCTGGAATTCAGAGTCACAGCAGATCACAGACCTGCCCGGGCCTAGCCCTGCAGGTTGCCTTTTCTCACTGGTCTATCCGAGTTAGAAAACTTTGGTCAGCAGTTCCCTGAAATTAGCTTCTGTGGGAAGGACTGTATAATACACATTTAAGAACAGAGCTCCAAGCTCTTATTCAGACACATTACGATTAATGGTGATCAGTCTCATGACAGAACCCTCCTTACTAGCTTTGGTTTGCACTTTGAAAGAAGAAAGGTGGACCATGTGATCTCTAAGTAATCCTGACATTGATGTTGAATTTCAGCAGCATCCCGCTTCTAAGGAAACCCAGTACTGGTTCCTGCTTTTGTTGTCTTTATAAATGAGTTTTGGTTTGTGTTTTGTTTTGTTTTGTTTTCCCACCAGGTGTAGGGGTAAATGCTTATAATCTTACCACACATGAGGCCAGGGGCTAGAGAGATGGCTCCAGGGGTTAAGGACATTGACTGTTCTTGCAGAGAACTGGCATTCAGTTCCTAGCCTCTACATGGCAGGCAGCTAACAACTGTCCTTAACTGAAGTCCAGGGAATCTAATGCCTGCTTCCAATGATTGTATGCACATGGTGCATGTACATATGTTCAGACAAAACAGTCACACGCATAAGATAAAATAAATAAAATTTTTAAAATAGTTCCAGGCAAATCTGGCTACATAGTGAGGCCCTGTCTCAAAAACCATGGATGGGTGGGTGGGTGGGTGGGTGGATGGATGGATGGTTGGATGAATGGTTGGACGGACGGACGGACAGACAGGGTCTCTGCACCCTTGAACTTACTATATATGGTTTGTTTGGGTTTCAGGTAATGGACGGGCCCGGAGAGAATGACCCCGACTTGAAACCTGCAGACCACCCTCGCTTCTGTGAGGAGATCAAAAGGAACCTGCCTTCCTACGTGGCTCACTTTACTAGAGTGTTTCAGAACAAGACATTCCATGTCTACAAACTGTCCAGAAACAAGTGACCGCGTCTGTTTTGAAGCAGCAGTGAGACTGCGGCATCGTGAGATCTGTGCCCGGGAGCTGGGAGCGGCTCTGGCGAGCTGTGCTGTGCTGTGCTGTGCTGTGCTGTGCGGGCACTGTAGGTGTTTACACAAGTCTGCCCTCCTCTGAAGCCTCTTTCACAAACTTGTCTTTCTTGTCCTGTCTCTGTTGTTTTCATTAACATTCTCCAGCCTAAAAGTGCATGCCTGTCCAAGACTGACCGAAGATTTTGTCCTTGGAGGAATTGTGTGTGACCCACAGCCATGTTGGAAAGCAGGAGCCTGTTCAAGATCTGAAATAGTTTGATTTTCAGTGAACTTGAGTGAGCTGTGGTGAGTGAACTGACAGGATGCATCATTTGATTCTTTTATATTCAGCATTGAGTGGCGTGTGGCTTTTTAAACGCTTACTCTCCTGTTCCATGTTAAAATTTTAAAATTTTCCAACGGTCATGCTTTTGATGGAACAAAACAGCAAGAACAAATCATGTTAGGTCTTTGAATCTTATACTGTGTTCTGAAATGTTACATGTATGTGTCAGAGCATGTGTGCTTTCATTCTAGGCACAAAAAGAAAGTGTTAGAAGGTTCTGTATCCAAAGTCCTCCAAGGACAAATGGCAATGTAGCTCGGGAGAACCTGCTACTGTTCCGTCTTATTTTAAGGGCCGGAACACTCTTTCATCTCTCCTGCAGGTAAAAAGAGTTGGCTTCACTTCTTACCCGTTTCTGTCTACTGGGTTTGCAAAATTTTGTAAACTTTTTGTGTTTTTAAGTCTTTGTATTTTTTACAGCCTAGAACCTTGCACAGTTTGAATATTTTTTAGATGTTGTATCTTGACTATTGACTAGTTTCAGTACTTTTGGCAGATGGCATTTTCAGAACCGCATGTCTCCGATCCCCCTGTAGGCCCTTGGTGACATCACTGCTGTCACTGAGAGGTCATCAAGTGCCTCCAAGCCACGCTTATTTGTAAATAGAGAGCAGTGCGCTCCCCACTCAAAGTTTTTGGATAATTGCTTTTATAATTCATTTCTAATGATGGGGGCATGTAAAGGCTGCTGATAAAGGCATACTGTCCACTTAATTAAATCAAGATAGCTAACGAATTCACTTTCCCACTCGCCATTTGGAAATGATTTAAATGCTTCGCCTTGGTTGTGGTGCAGTAAATTGCTGCAGGCGTCCTGATGGAGGGTCACGTGTTCAGATGATTCGCTATTCAGTTACTACTTAAGCCACATTCAAAAATGCTTTTCCATTGTCTGGTTGGGCACAAGGTTTTATCAAAGACTTATTTGAATAAAAAATTGACAGCTAGGTTATTAAATTATGCAACTGAAACTTTGGAATTCTGTCGTCTTCTGCATCCCTTAATAAGGTTGGAGACCATTGCAGTTTAGGGTAATACAGTAATAAAACATTTTAATCAGTGCTAAAACTTTAATTAAGCCAGCAGTGCTGCATGCCTGCCACAGCCACCAGCATGGGGGACCATCGTCAGCCCATGCCTTACTGTTAACTGAATCCAAGCACAGGTAAGGCACAGTGTGTTGAGAGGACCTGACTTTGTTCTTAAAGAAGCTGTTATGTTTTGGGTGTGTTTGCATTCTTTTTAAACATTCCTGTGTGTATTTGTCTAATCGTTGGGGTGTTTGGAGTCCTAGTACCCAGGAGACGTGGACTTGAACTTGTGTGCCCATGCTCACCACACTAATGGCATGCGCTGATTGCTTTCTCTTTAGTGCCATTGTCGCCAGAACATTCACTGTTTGGTCTTTTAGTGAAAACTATGAAGTGCCAAAAACAGTCTTACAAGACAGAATCTATATGTACACTCTTCCCAAGACACTGTGACTATGTACAGGCGAAGTTTTTACTCTTGATGACCAAATCTTTCAATGAATCATGTTAGATATTTTTACCTCTTACCCGGACTCTTGCTTGTGACCATCTCCTTGAAGCACACAGGAGGGAAGGGGAAGACCCGGGCATGGCGCTGTTTTCCAGATCGTGTGAGCTGGAACCAGAGCCCTGTCTGGACTCCTGCCACACAGGCCCCAGGGACTGTCACGTATTTAATAACATTCACTTATGGCCCTGGATGAAAAACCACTAGGTTTTGCTTCTAAGTTCCCTGTCAAAAGTACAACAGAAGTGCTCTTAATTAACTGCGTCTCACTCCCCAGAGCCCTCTAGGCTCCGACCCTCTTCTGAACTGCATAGGGAAACCGAGCAGGTGCCCCTCCCTAGTGCTCTCTGTACTCCGGCTGCCTCCTCCAGGCTTAGCCACCCCAGACCTCTGAGTGCAATCTCTGCCCCTGATTCTGAATACCTTGCTCAGCCACGAATGGCCTGGGGGCGTGGCTTGGCACAAAGTCCTGGACTTGCTCCACAGCACTGCAGAAGAGAGACGGACATAAAAAGAGATCTTTCTGCAGAAATTTAAGTTGAATGCTTGGTAAGACTTGGTAAAGGTTGGGTTCTCCTCAGAATTGCTTTTAAATTTAATATGGCCTAGAAAATTATGAAATACTGAGAGGACAGACATAAAAATGAAGTCAACGAATGAGCTTAGGGTCCTTCAGGTTTATCCTAGGTACTCGTTCCAGGGGCTGGAGAGGTGGTCAGTGGTGAAGAGCACTCGCTGCTCTTGCAGAGGACCGGTTTCAGGTCCCAGCACCTACTTGGCAGCTAACAACCGTCCATAACTCTAGTTCTAGGGAATCTGACGCCCTCTTCTGGCCTCAGCAGGTATTGCACATATGACACACGATGCACATGGAGGCAAAACACTCAAACACGTGAAATAAAGATAATAAAAAGTCTAAATCGGGCTAGGAGTGTAGCTCAGAGGTAGAGAGCTTGCCTAGCACACACAAGGCCCAGGTCCATTCCTAGCACTAGAGAAAAAAGCCTCAGCCAATAGGAAGGTACTGGAACATTCCCAGATCATGTTATCAGTCTGATTAATGGGAGAAACTGAACAGCACTCTCAGACTCTTGTGAAATAGAGCCCCTAGCTTCATATAGAAAGATCAGCAAATGAGGTACAGTTGTCTGTTTCAAGTGACGCTTAGCTACTTTAACCATTAAATGGCCAGTTACTGCTACCAGGGCTGGCAGAGGTTCTCCAAGTAGAAAGGTTCCCCCATCACTGTAGTTACAGCTGTTTGCAGAAAAGGATTTATTTCAGATGTGCTAGTCAGGGACACTGGGAAATTTGGTCATCTTGGCCATTTGCTATTCTAAGCTGTTTTGCTGGGCTGAGTTTGTAGCTCGTCTGTAGAGCATGTGCCCTAAATGCACAGGCTCTGGATTCTAGGCCCACTGCGCTTGACATGCACAGCTCAGCAAGTTCACATGTCTGCATGTGTCTATACACATGTGTTTTAGTGGACAGCTCTCAGGAGCAAGGACATAGGTGTGTATTTCATCTAGTCTTCATCTTTATTTCACAATTAAAACACAAAAGCATTACCCTGATTGCACATTAACTTTACTAAAATGTTAAAATTTCAGCTTGCCGTTAGCCAAAATTAATTAGTATTGAAATATTGAACTGTAGAATTTTAATTCACAGCTTGAAACTAGAGGAAGATCTTAAATGTTCACAGATCCTATATGTTGGTTAACATGCCTCCAGATGCTTCACCCATGACAGCCTCTTGGCCTGGGAGACAGTGCTTGTCTGCTGTAAGGGGGAAGAGAGGCTTGTGACAATTGCCTGTTTTTAACATCTGTCGGATCAAATCTTAAAAAGAGCCTTTATAATTTGTTGTACTGAATTGTATGGAGATTATACACTAAATAAAGCTCTTTTAGATTACACGAGGCGTCTTTTGTTGCCTTGAAGGTCAAAACACAGGGAAATAAGTGCCACATAGGGCAAACCACTAAGGACAGGTATGGGGAGGTCGCTTGTTCTGTTTGTTCTCCACCCAACCCCTTTCCTCCTCTTCATTTCTCTTTTGACAGGATCTTGCTCTATAGCCTGGACTGCCCCCAAACTCATGATTCTCCTACCCTAGCCTTCCAAAAGCTGAAATTACAGGTATGCACACCACACCCAACTATATAAAATGCATTTCTTGGGACTAGAGAGATGGCTTAGCGGTTAAGAGCACTGACTGCTCTTGTGAGGACCCAGGTTCAGTTCCCAGCACCCACGTGGATAACAGTTCCTAACTCCAGTTCCAGGGGATCTGATGTCCTCTTCTGACCTCTGTGGGCATTGCATGACATGGGTGCACTTACATGCATGCAGGCAATACACTCCTTCATACACATTAAAATAAAATAATAAAAATAAAATGTATTTCTTACTATGAGGTTATAGTCACAGTTTGAAAGCCAAGTCTTACAGCAGGGGTCATTCTGAGAGCTTGACAGTTTAAACCTGTTTGTCTTTGTTCTTGTTCCCAAGTCTGTTAGAGCCACTATTGATATTAAAGACCTGTTATGTATATTTTAGCTGTGATATGAACAATTTTATTTTTTAAAGTCCTTATCTTTCAAAATATGCAGTGAAATATTTAGAAGCAAAATTACATAACCAGGATTTGCATCTAGATGGAAATAGGATTAGTTAAAAGTAATATTGTTTAACCTACTTTGGAATTTTTCATAATAGAAAGAGAAATAAGAACCAACTAAATAATCCAGGAATCTTAAAATGTAATCCCAGCACTTTAAAGGCCGAGGCAAGCTGATCTCTGTGAGTGCAAGGCCAGCCTGGTCTACACAGTGCATTCCAGGCCAGCAGGGCTGCAATAGTGAGACCCTGTCTCAAAAATTCAATAAAGTCCAGAGAAATAATACAAAGGATAAATAAAACCAAACTCTAGTTCTTTTAATTTTTTAAAATATTTATTTTTATTTTATGTGTATTCCTGTACTGCCTGCATGTAGGTAAGTACACCCATATCGTGCAATGCCCCAGGACAGAAGAGGCTGTTGGATCCCCTGGAACTGGAGTTAAGGACAGTTAGCTGCCATGTGGGTGCTGGGATTCAAATCCAGGTCTTCTGCAAGAACAGCCAGTATTCTTAACTGGTGAGCCATCCCTCCAGTCCCTCATTTTTTAATATTAAAAAATTTTATGTGTATGAATGTTTTGCCAGCTTGCATGTAAACATTCATGTTGTACAATACCCATGGAAGTCAGAAGAGGGGATAGGATCCCCTGGAATTGGAATTACAGATAATTATTAGCTACCATATGGGTGACTGGGAACTGAATCGGGGTCCTCTGCAAGAGTACCCAGTGCTCTTAACCACTGAGCCATCTCCTCAAGAAGCTGAGGGCTCTCTAGCACTCATCCCCCAGCAGTGCTCACTGTTGATTCTCCTAGATGCCTTGTGGAGAGGTCAACAGCCTATCTGCATTTGTAAAGAAAACTCCCCAGGTGTAGGAGGAGAAAGGCAGGTACCAGGAACTTAGAGACCTAGGCCTATCCCCCACCCATCCAATGAAGGCACCTAAGGTCCCTTTCCTTCACACTTCACCCACATCCTCAAGATTCCTCCTTCCCCACAGTACAAGACCACCCCCTTCACCCTTCCCAAATGCCTTAAAGCAGGCTTCCTGGGTTTTTTCTAGGCAATCCAACATCCATCCCTATCTCCTGTCAACCCTGCCACACACTCTGGAGTTAAACAGTCTTGTGGTCTCAAAGACCAGTCTGTGTCCTCTATCATATCTGAGACCTTTCACCAAAATCTGGCAAGGACTTTCCCGCTGCATCATGACACAGAAAGCACCACATGGTTGACAGCATCTTGTGGGGAAGGGATCACTTGGCAGAGGAGCAAAGAAAAGGGCAAGAGAGGGACTGGGGGTTCCTTTAATAAGAAATCCGCTCTTTTGCACAGACCCATCCTCAGGTACACACACACACACCATTAAAAATGAAAATCTATGGGGGCTGGAAAGATGTTTCACTGGTTAAGAACACTGACTGCTCTTGCAGAGGACCCGGGTTTGATTCCCAGCACCCACATGGCAGCTATGAACCGTCCTTAACTCCAGTTCCAGGGGAATCCGAAGCCCTCTTCTGACCTCCGCTGGCATTGCATGACACGGGTGCACTCACATACATGCAGGCAATACACTCACGCATAAAATAAAAATATTTCAAAAAATAAAAATCCGAAAAAGCCAGATGCAGTGGTGTGCCTCTATAATCCTAGCACTCAGTGAGATGGAAGGAGGAGGTGGACTTGCTTGGAAGCTTGCAGGCCAGCTAGCCTGGAGTATACAGAGAAACACCCGAAACAGAGCCCCAGCCTCGAGGTGGAAGGAGAGAGCACACATGCACCATGTCACTCGAGAGGGATGCATACGCGTGCATACACACACACCACACACACACACACAATTTTAAACTTCAAAAAGAAAATCCCCAATGAACCAAAACCATCTTAGGGACTTAGAAGAGATAAACACAGCAGCTAACTTTTTCTTGATGTTTCTATTTGCATTGTAAGAAAATACATGTTTGTGTGTTTGAGCCAAAGGCAGGGGAGAAGGAAACGAAAGCAGGAAAGGGCCATTGACAAGGAGCGAGACTGACAGGTGGTTTTTAGAGTGCTGTCACTTTGGGGTGAGTGTGATGGACATGCACAGATGCAGACATGTGCCCAGAAACTCATCTTCATAAAGAAGTGGCTGATTGTGTGTGAATGTGCGTGAGAGACAAAGGAGTGTGTGAGAATGATTCCAGGCCTAGCACAGTAATTAGAGCTACAGTGTGCTAATTAAGGCTCATAAATTTAATGAAACTATTAGCATTTTCTCTCAAAAGAAGAGGTGAGTTTTCCCCCCAGCAAATGACACCTGTGAACAATTATCTCTCATTATTGCTATTAAGATTATTTACATAAGCTCATTTAGCACCCAGTGCTGGGAATTTTTTTTCCCCAGCCCTTGATCTCACCCCGTGGATGGGGAAGGACTTTGAGAATTGTTGCTAATGATGGATGCACTGCAGACAAACATGGCCGCTGTCAGGGAGCCCTCTGTACCACGGCGTGGCTCTTTGTGAGCAGTGGTTTTGCTTTTTTAGTGGAGGAAAATGTTTGAGTCTTCATGTAGGTATAAGAGCCTGTTGGGTTATAGACATTATGATCCCAGCCTTCTGTACATAATCATGTGCTTCTCTTGGTGACAAATTACTGACAAGTGACAAGCCAGGAGGAAATCTATCCAAAGATATAAAGGATAGGTTTGTGGTACAAACATGAATGAAAAAGATCCCAAAGCTGGGCACGGTGGTATGCCTATATTCCTAGAATTTGGGAGGCTGAGGCAGGACAGTTACGCCAAGTTCAAGTCTACTCTGGACTATATATAGTGAGTTCCTAGGTCAACCTGAACACTAAAAAAAAAAAAAAAAAAAAAAAAAAAAAAACGGGATCCTGTAGTTGTACTGAATAAAAATGGTGTGGCTGGGGTGTGGCCCAGAGGCCTAAAATCCCCCAGTGAGGGACTGGGGGTGTATCCCCAGTGAGGGACTGGGGGTGTGGCTCAGTGGTAGAGCACCTGCCTAGAATCCCCAGTGAGGGACTGGGGGTGTGGCTCAGTGGTAGAGCACCTGCCTAGAATCCCCAGTGAGGGACTGGGGGTGTGGCTCAGTGGTAGAGCACCTGCCTAGAATCCCCAGTGAGGGACTGGGGGTGTGGCTCAGTGGTAGAGCACCTGCCTAGAATCCCCCAGTGAGGGGCTATAGTTTAGCAGTAAAGCACTCACATAGTATGTGTAGGTCCTAGGCTCAATCCTTAAAACTGCAAAAAATAATAATAATAATTAAAATTAAAGAGGTTACCATGACCCTTTAAGGAGAAGTATCAGCTTAGAGGTTTCAGACTGGGTTATAAAAAAATTTTAAACCAGGTTGGCTTAAACAAATCAATGGAGTTTTTAGCACGTTAAACTTTTTTTAAAAGATTTAACCTAATATCCCAGTTGATTCAATCCATTCACTAGTATTTTGTTTTTGATGCATTTTGTTTTGCTCTAGTTTTTGAGACAGGGTCTCTATGTAGCCCAAGTTGGCCTGGAACTCACAATTCTCCTTCCTCAGCCTTTCCAAGGGCAGGGCTCACACGTGGGTGCCATCAGGTTCAGATCAACTCATATTTACTGAATCCCGAAGGCTTTGGGAATACATCTGTGCGAGAGACAAATAAATCACATGTTCTAGCTGAGCTTAACATTTTAAGGAGAGTGCAGACACCAGGTATGAAATGCAGGGAATGTAGAGTGTTTGAAGAGAACCAAAGTGCTATGAGTGAGGCTGTTGGGTGGAGAGGCTGGTTGTTTTTTAGAGCTTAGAAAGGCTTCCCAGAAGAGGTGGCATTTAAGCTAGTATTTGAATTGGCAAGATGAAGCCCCCCACAAGGTAAGACTGTACTGAAGATGGCTGCAGGTGAATGGGCCAGTTACATTAACTCCCAAGGCAGGAAGGAGCTTGGCACCCGTGAGTCACAGGAGACCTCGCAGGTGGGAAGGGAGAGGTAGGGAATTCGGTAGTCTGTTGGCAGATACCACACCGAGGTTGGACCGTTTCCAGTGTGAGAGAAAAACACCCAAGATTTCTCGAGCAGGGTAGTGACATTTATCACATTCACATTTCAAAAAACACACCCACGGATGCTGTGGTAGTTTCCTTTCATTACTGTGTCAAATTGCCAGAGACTTATGGGCTTTAAAGATGACAGATACATCATCACCAACAACAAAGGCCTGAAAACAGAGCTAGCCATGGTGGCATGTAATTCCAGCCCTCGAGAGGCTAGGGCAGGAGGATTGAGTTTTAGGCCAACCTGGA